ACGTTCAGGCAGCAAAAAAATGTAGTTAGAGACATCGGATCTTTTTGAAATTTTAACATAATATTTCTACATATATATACATTCGAAAAATGTAAAAAAAAAAAATTAAATTTTTTAAAAATTGTAGAGTAGAAGGTCCCCTTAAGACGATACGAGAGGTGAGGTCTTTCCATTATATTCTTTTCACGCGAACGATAATTTCCCCGCGTGGCAACGCCACGTGATTGATCTTTTTTATTATATTCTGCATAACATTCAAGGTTTTTATGCCGCGAGACTTTTTCTTGAATGAGCCAATAAAACATTGTATCTTTGATTGGCTCAATTACGCGTTTTATTTTATACTTTAATTTAATCCCTTATTTTCCACATCATAGCACTTACATAATTGCCAGAGAACTCCTAATCGAGAAATTTAGGCCATACAGATACATTGTATGTTATACCTTAGAACATTAGTTTGTAATTATAATCTCTTTCTTTAAAAAATTGTATAAATTACAATTTTTTATCTTATTGCATTACGATACAATTGCAGTTGTTTATTGGATTTGAATCTTATTAGCGGCATTCACAAAAGTAATAAGAAAATGAAAGATAAAACGGTAATAATTACTGGATGTACGTCTGGCTTGGGCAAGGAAACGACTATACATTTAGCTAAAAAAGGAGCCAAAGTGATTATGGCATGCAGAAACATCGATGTAGCAAATACAATTAAAGGTTATTTTCTGATTATTTTTATTTTTTAATCAAATAGCAAAAACACATTCGATAAATGAATAAGTTTTTCAACTTATTTGTCGATTTGTTCCTCAATATTATCTCATTAAAATTTGCATATAAATTAATTAATTAAATTGTTATTGTGATCGTAAATTTGTTATCTCGTTAAAATTTAAAGAACTATTTTTAATCTCTTTATATTTATTTTTTTATTAAAAATAATATAATGAACTAATTAATGAGATAGTTAACACTTTGACGGTCATTTTGAAATTGATGATAGACAGAAAGAATAATTTTCAAATAATAAAATAATTTTTATTTTCAAATAAAATTTTGTTTTTTTTAATAATTTTTTTTAAGTTTATTAAAACCTTCATTTAACCCTTTCGTTACGGCAGTCACTCCGCGGGAATAACGCTACCATTACGAAGCACCGCGCCACCGAGCTAACGTCAAGATCCGGCGCTCGTATTCACAGGTAATCGAGTGGACACCGTTTTTTTCCGGCGCTCGTAACGAAAGGGTTAATGCGTCAAAACGTCAATGGATTGAATGAAGAGTCGAACTAAAACAGCTTATTAATGTATTTCAATAGCTCGTTAACGTATTAAAAAGAACTTTGCATGTGCTACACAATAAAACTAATTACATAATTGTTTTAATCTGTAATTTTTTCCAAAATGCTTTTCTATTGATTTTTCTAAATGTTTAATGCTTACGTATGTCTTATTTTCATAATTATATAAATCTCTACACAAAAATCTGTAAATCCCCGAACCTATAAAGCTAAAAACCGTTACACTAAAAATAACTTTATTAAACATGTTCTTTCAATTGCAGAAAAAATAATAAAAGAAACAGGAAATTCTAATATCATCATACGTAAATTAGATCTTACTTCTCTGCAGTCCATAAGAAATTTTGCTGAGTTAATAAATAAAGAAGTAAGTAGATTGGATGTTCTCATTCACAATGCAGCTCTAGCTCATTTAAAAAATAAAATCTCTGAAGATGGATTGGAGGTAACCATGGCAACCAATCATTATGGACCATTTCTTCTAACTCATCTCTTAATAGGTAATTAGAACACATACAAGGTAAAATGAACAGAACTAAATTAGAAGATATCTGACAATTGTTATAAACATATTGAAAAGTAAAAAAGCGAAAAACCGTCTAGCTTAAATTGAATTAATCGAATGCGTATTATTTTTTAACAAGTATAATATGATAAATATGTTTTATAAAATAACGTTAATTTAACTGAAACACTGATGCACTGACTCATATGTTATGGATTAATTAACGTTAATTATTATTTCAGATCTGTTAAAAAAATCAAAACCGAGTCGAATAGTCATAGTTTCGTCGGTAATATATAAACTTGGTTCATTAAACTTAAACAATCCTAATCAAATAGATTCGTATATTCCATGTAAATATTACTTTAATTCGAAATATGCAAACTTGCTATTTACATTAGAATTGGCACGTCGTTTAGAAGGTACTGGCGTTATTGCAAATTGTCTGCACCCTGGTGTCACAGATACTGGAATTTGGAAAAGAATTCCATGTTTTTTATATTGGATTTGTAAAGTTCTGATAATAATTCCAGTGGGTATATCAACCCAGGAAGGAGTTCAACGAATTATGTACCTTGTTGAATCCGAAGAAATTAATGGATTATCTGGACAATATTTTATTAAATATTTTAATCATTTAACGGTATGTTATTGTTATTAACTAATCTTTTAATGTATAGTTTTAAGGTTAAGATTTCATATAATCTTTCAATAAGAAAAGAAATACAAAATAAAAATATTGTACCATTGATCACAAAATTTAAATTAAAAAATTATAAATATTTCTTAAGTAATCGAACAAAATTGACGATGAAGGTGTTTATTTTCCTAAACAATTTGATCGTAATTGTTTTAATAGATTAATGGATTTTTTCTCTTCCATAAATTTTGTATATCTTCTTTCTTTTTATAGAAAAGTAGTTTAACGAATATGATCGGCAATCCAGCCCTGCCCAAGAAATTTTGGGAGATCAGCGAAGAACTAGTTAAATTACAGCCAACCGATCCTAAAATATAAAAAATATTTGTTAATTAAGGATGTTGGTAAAATTAAAAACAACATACAAAGATAATTGATAATTATTAAAAAATATAAAAACCATAAGTGAATCCTATTTACTGTGTTTTATTGTCAAAGATTATTTTATTTGTAAATTATAAAAATTTGTAAACATATAAATAAATACATAATACGTAAAAATTAATGTTATTAATTACTGTTATATTTTATTGTTAAGAATAGTGTATATATAAGACGTTATGTCTTCTCACTCTAACTTCCCCTACTCCTTATCCCTACTTCTCCTACAGGCCGTAGAGTCTCTTTGCACAGGGCGATTGTACGCCTACAGTCTGTATTGTATCCGATCTAGCTCTGGGCTAGATGTGCAGTACATTCAGTGATCCCAGAAACTTTTGCTTGTTTGATCGACACAGTGCCGTAAAATTGTCGGGTTCTCAGTAAAGGGTATAGCCGGATTAATATGGGAAATCTGCCCCTGTGGCTTTTTTGACTCGCACCTGGGAGATCGATTTGGTGTCGAATAAAAATAATTCACCTCAAATTTTAGCTCTTTTACTCAAACGGTTCTCGAGATTTTCAAAAAAAAACCTGTTTTTTGATTTTATTTTTATTTTTATAGTAAAATTCAAAACTAATCAATGATGATTTTTTTTCTAGTTCTTAGGAGTCCAAGACATGAAAAAAAAGTATGATCATAATATTTAACCGAAAATCCGATTTTTGGCGGACGAAAGAAAATTAAAATCTATTTTTTTTTTAGCTTTTTTGGAATATGTTACTCACCAAAACTCGTCAAAAAATGTCTTTTATACTCTTCTACATTCAGGAATTTTCTTGAATTTTTTGAAGTGGTGGAACAATATGAAAAAATTAAAAATTCATTTTTTTCTAAAATCTCAANTTGAGATTTTAGAAAAAAATGAATTTTTAATTTTTTCATATTGTTCCACCACTTCAAAAAATTCAAGAAAATTCCTGAATGTAGAAGAGTATAAAAGACATTTTTTGACGAGTTTTGGTGAGTAACATATTCCAAAAAAGCTAAAAAAAAAATAGATTTTAATTTTCTTTCGTCCGCCAAAAATCGGATTTTCGGTTAAATATTATGATCATACTTTTTTTTCATGTCTTGGACTCCTAAGAACTAGAAAAAAAATCATCATTGATTAGTTTTGAATTTTACTATAAAAATAAAAATAAAATCAAAAAACAGGTTTTTTTTTGAAAATCTCGAGAACCGTTTGAGTAAAAGAGCTAAAATTTGAGGTGAATTATTTTTATTCGACACCAAATCGATCTCCCAGGTGCGAGTCAAAAAAGCCACAGGGGCAGATTTCCCATATTAATCCGGCTATACCCATTTTCGTACGCACAGAAAAATCAGATACGATTTTCAGATTTTCAGATTTTCAGATTTTCAGATTTTCAGAAATTCCAGATTTTAGGATTTTAAATACTTTTTTTTAGTCTTTGGTTCCTTTGGTTCGTTGTATTCCTCCTTTTTCAGGCTTTTTTCGTCCCTTTGTCCTTTTTCCTGACTATCTGACTATTGTATACCTATTTATGTGGCTATGAAATGACTGTAGCCAATCAAAAAAATTGAAATACCGATTTTTCAAACTTTTCGAAACATAAATAACTGAGTGCGCTAGAGTGCGCTGCAACAGAATCGCGTAACAAAAACAAAATCAAGACATATTGAAAATTATATTTAAATATCGAATAATCGTAAATTATCGTACAAGTTGGATTTTGGATCGTACAAGGCTACAAATTATGTGACGTGTACGATAATTATCGTACGAATGGGATCACAACATTTCTTTTCACTGTTTCTTATAATAAAAATTACATCATATTTTTCTATCATAACTCTGCGTTATTATTTGTCAGACTTACCTTAACATTTATAAAAATGTAGAAAAGTAGGATGAATAAAAGAGGTCCAAATTAGAAAAACCGACAACAAAAAGCTAGTGGAAAATAGTAAAACTATATATAATAGTATACTTCGAAACCGGTTTGACATAGATTGCGTTTTCACAGGCCTTACTTAGTCAGTGTATCTCCTAACTGTACGTCAGAGTGCATTTAACGGGAATTTCAACAAGTAAGTATTAAACAAATTCTATTTTATTTATACTTATAATTAAAATGACATAACATTTGACTAAAAGTAATAAAATGATTACAGTGAATAAAAAATCTATAACATTTTCAACATTGGAAGGTGATTCTGCTGATAAACTGGATGAAATGTATAGAGTAAAACCAAGCTTTCTTAAAGTGGAACCAGGATCCTGTTTATTACCACCTAATTATATATTTTTCGCTAAAAAAATAAGAGATATGCAAATATATAAAAATGACGTATGGATAGTATCTCATCCACGAACTGGTAAGTTTAATTAAACTATTTAAAAGAGAAATGATAAATAATAAAATTATTTTAAAATAATATTAATGAGAATATTTTAATTATACAGGTAGTAATTGGGTACAAGAAATGGCATGGTGTATCGGAAGTAATTTCGATTATGAAGCCTCAAAAACTCTTCTGATGATTCGTAATCCATTACTCGAGTAAGGATTTTAATAAAATGTTAATAATTTAATTACAACAAAATTTATTAAATTATATGTTTCAGAGGATCCGCCCTTGTAGTAACAGGAGATTTTGTAGATTGGTTTTCAAAGTTAGGTGACTCAGTGGAAAATGTTATAAATGCCCCGAAACCTCGTTACATTAAAACACATTTACCATGGGATTTATTACCTACAGATATTCATTTAAAAAAGCCCAAAGTATGTACATATACTTAATTATTTTTGTGTACTAAAAAATGCTTATACACATTTATTATATTTCAGATTATATACATTGCCAGAAATCCTAAAGATACTTGCGTGAGTTTTTATCACTATTGTAAAACTTTTCATAATATAAAAGGCAGTTTCGAAAATTTTGCGGAATTATTTATAAGCGAGAATGGTATTGATTTTGCAATTAAGTTTTAAGTATTATAGAACGTATATATATATAGTAACTAATAATAATTTTGTTGATAATTTGTGTTTAAGCACCAATGGGGCCATTTTGGAATCATGTACTTCCTTTTTGGAATGTCAGAAAACAAGATAATATTCTGTTTTTAAAATATGAAGATCTGAAGAAGGTTTTTATATGAAAATACTTATAAGATTGTTTTATCTGTTTCTAACGATGATTGCATTTTTTTAGGATCAAGTTAAAATAATTAAAAAAACAGCAAAATTTCTTGACAAAACAATAACAAAAGACCAAATTATTAAGCTTAGCGAACATTTGGAATTTACTAGAATGGCAGCAAATCCTGCTCTAAATTTAGAACAATTATTAAAACTGAGAAGTGCTGATGAAAATGATCCTAATGCAAAATTTATAAGGAAAGGCAAAGTTGGGGACTGGAAAAATTATATGTCAGAAAATTTAAGTAAAAAATTCGATAATTGGATGGAGAAACATTTAGAAGGTACTGATTTAAAATTTGAAACAGAAATTTCAACGTGCGAATAACAATGAGAATTTTTAAATCATGTGTGTGAACATAATATATAATAGAAAATAAGATATATAAAAGTCTATATATTATATACTATAATCATTTAATTAATTACATATATATGTACAACGAATTAAGATTTCTTTTTATATATTAACTTTCACAACTAAATAGTATATTAAACAAACACAGCTAATTATCTCGACAATGCTTTATATTCTTTTTTTATATCTAAATAAACAATATACTACATTCAGTATTTTGTACTAAAAATGTCAATATTGCTTACTGATGGATCTAATATTAAAAATAAATTATTACACCGTAACACCAATTCCAATTGCTTGGATTTAACCATGTGATAATTGTTGCAAATGAAGACCCACTTATGAATAAAAAATATATGACCAAATTTTAACAGAAAACAATTTCAAGAACGTTGATCAATTATTTAGACAACTATGTAATTAAAAATTGTAACATAATGGAGAATATCATAATATATACTATAATAATATAATCCATAAAATGTACAATATCTAATTTGAAAACGTTTAATTAATTCTATATAACCCAGATAATTTTCTAATGAATAAAATACAATGCAGATTCATAGAGTGCATTTTGAGAATAACATATATATTAAATATATATGTTCATAAGCTTCCTTTCTTTGTGTGTCATTGAAATGTAAACTTAGCAATTAGCATGTTCTCCTGTTCCCCCATTGTCTCTGCTCAATCGACAAAAATGTTTTATAACGACAACGGAGAAGAGAAATAATCACTGTTTTCATTCGAGATCTTTCGTTGCGTATGAAGGAACGTATAGAGTCTTCAGCCATCTATCTAATTTATGCTATCCTAATAATAACTTCGAAGACTTTCTCTGCATCTCTTGCACTCATTGAAAACTCATTTCATTCAATAAAGGCAATGATCGATAAATACTTCTTAACTGGCTTGAAATTTTTTTCCAACTTATTTTTGATTATCTTTTATTTTTTCTTTAACTCTCAGTTATTTAAATATAAAAAGAAATTAAAAATATATAGTTAATGAAACATTGAATAAATTAAAAAAAAAATTGTTGAGATGTTACTTCGATTAATTTAACTAAGGATTAAAAGGAAATGTTTGTTTCTGTTAATCCATTGTATCTCTTATAGTGTTTCTATTTTTGAATTAATAAAGTGAGAAAGAGAAAGAGATATATATATATAGAGTAAGTGAGTGAGTGAGTGAGTGAGTGAGAGAGTGAGAGAGAGAGAGAGAGAGACATAGAAAGGACTATGCATGCGCCATCTGTGCGAGTAAAAGGAAACTTCTTACGGTAGGTTGTACTTGTGCACGACCTCGAGCCCGGATTTGTGTGTTCTAGAAGAAATGGACGGAGATTTTTTATAATGTACGCCATAAAAGGTATATTTTATTAACACTTTACAAATAATATCACTTTATTTATTAATGTTGTTTGATCATCGAAGATTCATTCAACAGCTTTCCCTAG